CACTCTTGGAGTATTTTTTGAAAAGCTGCTCTCATTGAAATCCAGATATCACTCAATTCCGATGGGTTGGAAGGCATGAAAGGGTGTGGCTTTGATATCAGGATAAACCATCATTACAGCTTGAGGCTGATGATTTCCAAGCCATCACAGGAATCCAGAGATGAGAATTCTTCCTCAATTACATGGGTACCATAAGAAGAAGAAGGCCAAGAGCAGAGACCAGGCCATGATGAAGAGCTGATGTTTTTGGGAAACTCAGATTGGGAGAGTGCTGTAGCCCCTTTAAACCCCCAAGAATCTGAGTCATCCCCCTTTTATGCAAATTCAGTTTGCATCTTGTTAGCAGTTTTTGGATATAAAGAATTGAATTTTGGGGTCGGGGTTGTTCACAATTGATGCATATTCAGCTGTTTCCCTCCCCAGTCAAAGAAGAAATCCTGCAAAGTTTTGCTGTGGACAATTTGCATACATCCAACTGTATTTGCTCATTTATAAGTACCATTGAAGCTTGGGTGCTTTTCCTTAGCATGTTGTTTGCATGCAGCCATTATTTTCCGAACAGAGTTTAGGGAAATGTTTTGTTTTAAGACGGCCAATGAATTATTCAGGGAAGGAGGCGAATGAAAGAGAATTTAAGAAAGTGCCTCATCTAAATTCTAGAATCCCTGAGAAATTCGGATTTCTGGTAAAAATCATTGTTCAAATTGAACTCGGTTTCGGTTTAAATATTCAATTTCAATATTATATTTTCTCTTCTCAGAAAATATTTGAAAAATGCAGCAAGAGCTCTTCCACATGGCCAAATCTCTGTTGAGAGAGACTCTCTCGTCTTTTCAAATGGGATTTTTTAAAGGGGAAGAAGGTATTTTTTATGAATTCAGGGAAGTCTGCCTCTGCAACCACATCCCACACGGTTAACCACGTGTAGAATTTGAGATCATAGATTAGGAATGAGGAGATTCCTAGAAGGAGAAGTTCCCCGAGGATGGACTCCAGCATGAGTTCGAAAGCTTGGAAGACAAAAGTTCTGATCCCAGAGCTCTATTAACAGCATTATGGGCCCCAGGAATCTGACATTAGTATGGCATCAGTGTGATCTTTCTGAATAGGGTGTTCTCCAGGGAGATTTAACACCTTCCTCCCCCTACTTTTGCTTGCAGACATGTAGACATGCAACTAGAAAAACAATTTCAGGTGTTCTCTTCCGTTGCAACAGGTGGGTGGCCAAGCAGAGTGAGAAGAAGCGAAACTCACAGGAGGAAGTTACGGGGCTGCTTGCCCTTATGGCTCTGCTGCAGAATT